ATTGTTAAAATTTGATTTTTTTTTTCACTGATATTTATACTTAAATTATTAATTTAAGTATAAATATCAGTGAAAAAAAAAATCATGACCTGATTTTCACAAAAAGACTATTAGTCTAACATTTGATGTGTTGATAAAGCAAGGCTTGTTTATGCCATAATTATTGCTTTACTTAAATTATAATTGATTTGCAACTTTTTAAAGTAAAGAATGTAAACGCAAAAGTATTTGTGGTGGTAGAACTCCATTTGCGGTGATGGAGACCTCCAATTAAAGTAAATATAAGGTCTGTTGTTACTAAGAAAAACCAGAAAATGTCATTTCGAATTTTAAAAACTTAAAGCTGCTAAAAGACAGCAGAAGAAGCAAAAAATAGGCAGACTTTAGAGGATATGAGGTTTATAACAAAAAAAACGAGGTGTAATCTTTTTGAAGGTTTGTCTCCGGAGCTCTAAAATTTAAATAATTATTTAAATAATTAAATCCCCCTTCACATTCTATGAAGCAATAAGATATATCCCGTGTTTCTAAGGTAAGATTTTTTTTTCGAATATGTTTTATTAATCTTTGCCCAATATAGCACGAAATCTTGGGCACGAAATCAGTATTTAAAAGCGGGGAATTGTTTTCCTTTTTTTTTTGGAACAGAGGAGAAGAGATCAATAAAAAAAAATCATAGTTTGTATGAAGCAGCATCAATCTATCCCATTGCACCCAAGACTCTGAATGGATTGGAAAGAGGCATGCATTTTTCTTAATAGCTTTGCTAATATAGTTTTAGAGCTCCGGAGGCAAATTGATTATGCGACTGATAAATGGCGAAAAAAATTCGTAGAATTTTATATATGACTCTTTTCTTGGCTTATAGGAATTTAGTTTTTCTAGTCAACTTGTTTTAAAGCTCTCTTGATACCAATTTTAATTATTTAAATAATTTTTGTAGTAATTTAATTATAATTATTATATACAATTATGTTTACATGTGAAACAACACTCGTAAATGAGAAGGAAATAAAAACTTTCTTGCCGGTATGGAGGTTATTGGTTGCTGCAACCCCGTCATTTAATCTCACTAGGAAAATGTAAGACGCCATCAACAAGAGGGCTATAGAATAAGTGCCCATTACTTCTTTACGTAGTTTTAAAATTTTAGTTCATTAGAGAAAGTGGTGGTGTCATCCGAAGTGCAGTTGTTGAAGAAATCCAGGTGGGTTTCTACTTCACCATCATATTTGACGGTACCTCAATACATCTCACACTGAGCAGATAACTTTTGAATCAGCCATAGAGATCAAAGTATTCTTTGGAAATGTCGAATCTTTGTACCTATTATTTAATGCAAGTCCTGCTCGATGAAAGATCCTCACTAAAGCGACAGAAACTTCAATGCGTAGACTTTCTATGGCATAGACTTTCTATGATGGAACTCTAGTACCGACGCGATCAAACCACTTGCCAAGAGGCCAATAGAAATGGCAGCTCTTAAACATGCCATGAAAAACCTTGATTTGACCAGTAAGCAGCTCAGTCACGTTACTGCTATTAACTACGTTAGTCGTCTTCTAGAATCTAAAGACATTATCATTGATGACGAGCTACGTATGATTGATTAGCTGCTGGAAGATATTAAACGGATTAGGGGCATTTAATTATAAATTTTCCAAGAGGCTGTAGCTATAGCTAAACTGGTAGGATTTGAAACTGAACTTGCTACTAAAAGAAAGTGTAAACGCTTTCACAATGAAGCATTAAACACAGCACATTTACAGGACAGACAAACAAAAGAATTCGAAGTGAATGCTTTTAACGTTGGTTGATAGTCTAATTCAGCAGATTGTTTCAAGATTTGAAGTGTGTAGGATGGTTGGTAATATATGTTCATTCATCTGGTTAGATAATGATTATCTTTTTATTCAAAATAAAGCTTGCACAATTTTATCCGAGAGATGTGAACAAGGAAGATTTCATTAAAAAAGTTTGACGTTTTAACAATGCGCACAAAATAATTTTCAAGCAAAGAAATCCTATGGATCTACTCAATTAAATCTTCAAGAAAAACCTTAAACACATTTTTTCGAACATTTGCATTCGGATTTTTAACAATATTTTTATGTCAGTTATTGAGGGTGAACAATCGTTTAGTAAACTAAAGATTGTAAAAACTCACTCCGTTCAACCATGGGCCAGGATCGCATTACTGACTTTTGAATTAATTTGATTGAAGAAGATTTGACTAAAAAGGTGAACTACGTTAATAATATTAATATTCAAGGCCAGAAAAACTTGAAAAATTTATTTTTAAGTCCTTTATTTACCTTTCTCGAAAATTTTGTTGATTTTTTGTGGACTTTTCGTTTATTGATTTTAAAACAAATTTTTTGATTTATATGTCAGTTTTGAATAATGAACCGTTTATGCAGAGAATAGTAATACAGAAAAACAATGAACTGTATCAGAAATAGATAATTGCTGTGTTCACAAAACCTAATATTTTGTAGTTTCTTGGTTTGAAATAGAGGCGTCGTTCTCCATTTTTGACTCAGACGCCGTTGACGCTTTTGAAGACGCTGCACGTTAGACCATACATTTTTCAGCTTTTTTGTTTTTTTTTTTACTTTATTTTTTGTTTCAACTTATGTTAGTTATTGGGATTGAAAACTCGAAATTAAATTAAATTTTAACTCGAAATAAAATAAATAAATTTTGTCTATTTTGAGCCGTTTTTGCCGGATATACGTGGCGATTTTTAAAATAAATATGAAATTAAATTTTAACTCGAAATAATATAAATAAATTTTGTCTATTTTGAGCCGTTTTTGCCCGATATACGTGGCGATTTTTAAAATAAATATGAAATTAAATTTTAACTCGAAATAATATAAATAAATTTTGTCTATATTGAGCCGTTTTTGCCCGATATATTTTTGAAATAAATATGAAATTAAATTTTAACTCGAAATAATATAAATACATAAAAACATTTTGATTTTTCTCTGTAATAAAGTTACTCAAGAATAAGCATAAAAAATGATTTTGATGAAATATTTTTATATTTTTAAAACGTTTAACAACTTGTTGTATAATTTTTTGCAGTTGAATATTTATATGAATATGCCCTTAAATTTGATTTATAATTTTTGCACTTGTTCATGTATGCATTGGAACTGTATGAAATTTTTAATTTTGGAGTAATACTTAATGACAAGACCTGATGCTCATTCTTTTATGTAAAGTTAAATACTAATACCATTTATTATGACTTTAACTATTCCTTACTATGTAACGATTTTTACACCTAAATGGTTTTGTTGTGTAACAATTAAAAGAAAATGTTAGCATGCTTGTTTGAGATAACCAATGCTTTTCAAGGATGCTAAAAATATTGTGTTTAACGATTAGGTAAACTGGTAGTTAGGTCAAGCACATGTGGCGCATTTGCTCAAGTTCTAGCTTGAACCAAGAGGTTAGAGGTTCATTGATGAACACACTAAAGTAGCTATTGCTGAAGTTCCATTTTATTCATTTTAAAAGTTTTTTTATTTTATTTGAATTATTGCATTATGTATAAAATAGTTCCTTTTATGACGATTTTGGTTCAATAAATGGCTAAATGCATATTTAATTTTCTATTCAGGAAAAATGAAGTTTCATATTTCCTGAGTAGAAAAATATTGGCCGAATAATGTGTTTAAATTCTATAAAAGTATTTAATATTTAAATTGAATATATTAAATTGTAATTGTTTTATATTGTGTTAATATTATTTGTTACTCAGGTTATGCGCATGACAATTTAATTGTTACTTTATTGGAAAATATTGTAAAAGTTTTATATTAATTGATTATAGATGCCCCAATTGTTGTTTAATGAAAGGCAACAATAAGACGTTGATTATTTTTATTGACTTTATATAATCTATTATTGTATTACAGTCATCGTGTAAATAATCTGCTTTGCACGCATGATTTTTGTACTTTTCTTTAAAAGTGAACAAAAGAACAAATACACCAAATTGCATTCAACATATAAAATTATTTGAAAATAAATTTTTTTATAATTGAAAATTTTTTTTTTTTGAACATTTTAAAAATTTAGTACTCTATTAGTATTAAATGTTCAAATATTCAACAACAAAAAAATTATATTAAAAATGTAAAAAACTTACAACAGTATTTATTTTCAATATTATTTACGTTCCGATATGCATTAATTCGTAATTATTACGTATTAATGCAAATCGACATTAATACGTCATTATTACGTATTAATGCAAATCGCAACCGTATTTCGGAACGGAGAGAGTAAACATTTGAAATACACGGAGAAAACGTCATAATTATTTAAACTATTTCAACTAATAGTATGTAGTTCAGCAAAAAATTTCAACCAATAGTATGTAGTTCAGCAAAAAATTTCAACCAATAGTATGTACTTCAGCAAAAAATTTCAACCAATAGTATGTAGTTCAGCAAAAATTTTCAACTAGTAGTATGTAGTTCAGCAAAAAATTTCAACCAATAGTATGTACTTCAGCAAAAAATTTCAACAAATAGTATGTACTTCGGCAAAAAATTTCATCTAGTAGTATGTAGTTCAGCAAAAAATTTCAACCAATAGTATGTAGTTCAGCAAAAATTTTCAACTAGTAGTATGTAGTTCAGCAAAAAATTTCAACCAATAGTATGTAGTTCAGCAAAAATTTTCAACTAGTAGTATGTAGTTCAGCAAAAAATTTCAACCAATAGTATGTAGTTCTGCGCTTTAATATTTATTTTGCCGTTAGGGCAAAATAAATATTAAAGTGCAGAATTAAAGAGAAAGAGAATTTAGGTAACATTTTTAACTCATTATAAAAACAATTTTCCTGAGGCTCTTTTAGGGTATTAAAAAAACAAAAAACTTACCCCACCTCGGGGTAAGTTGGCGCAAACTAAAGCGTTATTTAGAACTTTATAGTTTTCAAATGAAGTGGGGTGACCTTTGGTACAAGGAAGCCCTCGTTTTTAAAAAGTACTAACAGCATTTTCTTTAGAAAATAACTTTAAAGCAATAAATGGTTATATACAATGGGGTTTACCACCTTAATAAAAATGCTGTAAATAGACTTGAAGCGTTACAAAAGGAGGTATAACACGTTATATTAAGTGAAAGTAATAGTGATCATAACAATCGTCATAAAAAATTTGTTAACCTTTATTTATAAAAATACCGTCTAAAATTTTTTAAAAAATTATCTTATTTCATTTTTAAATGAGTAATTACAAACTTTATAGGCTAAGTCGTTAATGAAAGTGTTTTCATAAAAATAAATATTCTACTTTACACTTTTGTAATTTTCGGAAGAAAAAATATTTCTAAAAAGAATTATATGCACCATATGCAAAGATGATTCATGCCAAAACACATGTTTAAATTTTGAAGTATGACTAAAAAATTGTCTTGTTCTCTAAAATGTATCTTTTAAAAATCTACTAGTCTTTCATAAAAGTTTTCAAAAATAATCTGAAAACAGCGATTCGTCACGCTTTCTAATCGCTGTTAACGACTCATTATAAATGCTTTTTAAATAACTGATTTTTTGTCCGATCTAAAAAAGAAAATATTTTCTTTTAAAAAACGCGTTTATATATATATATATATATATATATATATATATATATATATATATATATATATATATATATATATATATATATATAATATATATATATATATATATGTATGTATGTATATGTATGTATATGTATATATATATATATATATATATATATATATATATATATATATATATATACATATATATATATATATATATATATATATATATATATATATATATATATATATATATATATATATATATATATATATATATATATATATATATATATATATATATATATATATATATATATATATATATATATATATATATATATATAACTAAATATACCTTTAGAGCAATCTTTTCTCCTTCACATAGAATTACTATTCTATCTTCGTGTGATGGGTCTCGTAACACAGCGTTATGACGGATCAGAAAAATTTCGATATAGTGTTGGCGACCTGATAGAAAAAATATAATTATTACCAAAAAACACAAAATGATAATTGACACAAAAAAATTTAGTTTATTCTAACCTTCGTAATAATAGTTGCAGTCACGACAACACGAATACTCAACATGTAAAACGATGTTTTCTGGACATGCTGGACCTGATTTCACAAAATAAATTCCTTTGTTAGTAAGAAGCGCTTTGAACTTATCTGAGCTAGGTCTGACTGGTTCCATTGCAAAGTACCTAAAAAAAAATTAATAATTTAAAAAGTTTTGTTTTTAGTTAGATTTTCAGAAATTATCCGACTTATCACAAACAATTATAAAATTAAAAATGCAATCATTCAACGATTGATTCAAAACATATTGTCTTATACTCACATTTCTGTGGTATCGCCATCGTTAAATTTTAAAAGAACCTCTTGTCCCTCTGAGGCGTTCCTTGAAAACTTTCCTAGTACACCACCTGGACCATAACAATTTCTTTTTAGACGTCTTGCGGGAGGAGAAGGCTTAACAGCTTTGGTTGTCATTCGCACAGCGGCTGCAGTCCCAGAAGCAAGGTCTAAGACACCAGCAATTGGCTTAGCAACAGTTCCAACTAAACCTTTTCCCAATCCTGCAAAGAACCCCTTAAAAAAAAATTATATATAAAAAACTAAAAATGTAAAAGAAAAAAGCACTTTTAAAAAAATTAACAAATAAACCCATATAAAATATGAAGATATAAAACCATATAAAACAGAAATATAAATAATATAAATATTACATAGCTAAAATTATAATATAATATAAATATTACAAACCTAAAGAACCTCAAAGTAATATTAGGGCTATATAGCTTAAATTATCAATCAATTGGTTTTTATTGCTTTTGTAATTATTTTTATCATTGCAGTTTATACTTATTTTTATTTAGTATTTATCTATATTTTTATATAGTCTTTTGAGTCTTTCTATATGCCAATTATATCTATTAATATAATTAGTACTAAAATTTATAATAATAAAAAATAATAGTTATACTGGTAGCTATAACTGTAATTATTTACATATCAACATGTTTGTAAACTTACAGATACTCCTTTTTTTGAAGCACCCTCAATAGGTTGGGTAACCATGCTTGTCAATCCGCCTATAACACCCATTCCTAATCCTTTTAACCCAGCGGAAAAATGTGTTGAACTGCTGCTTGATCGTGCCACTCGCAAAGAATCACGAGATTCTTGAAACTTATCATCCATAGATGCTGACCACAAACCATCAGCAAGTACACCTGTCATCTGATAAAAAAAACCTTGTTATATAAAAATATCAAAACTCCTTTTAAAGATAGCATAAAGATTTCTTACTTTAGCAGCACTGTCAGAGAACCCATGGGCAACATTCACAAACAAACCTCCAACGTTGCCTTTCTTGAGAAAACCTTCCATACCAGACGAAAAATCTTGAATTAAACCTAACGGATTTCCCAGAATATCAAGTGATCCTAACAAAACAGCGGCTTGATTAACCAAAGTGTCTTTGTAAAATGATGCAAGTGATTGGATAAAACCGGATTTAGTTTCAAATATATTCACTTTTTTAAATGTATTGAATGTAATGACAGCATCTTCAAAACTTACAAAAGGGTAACCTATAAAATTATTTATACATTAAATATAATAATAATAACTTCTTTATATTAATGCTGAACTTAGTAGTAGTAGTAGTAGTAGTAGTAGTAGTAGTAGTAGTAGTAGTAGTAGTAGTAGTAGTAGTAGTAGTAGTAGTAGTAGTAGTAGTAGCAGCAGCAGCATTAGTAGTTTGCCGTTTGATAAAGTCTTTTGTTTATTAAAAAAATTGACGTACAATACATCTTGATGGCTGAAGTGGTTAGCTCGCACCATTTAAAATTTTATTTTAAGTCTTTTGATTTTTTGAAATACATAATATTTTTAAAGTTATACATATATTAACATATATAAAGATATTATATACTATAACAAACGAAAGAAATAGAGTTTTGAAATAAGCTTTTTTGCTGTTTTACTTGATCTCTTGTCTTAATATAACTGCAAAATAGCCAAAGTCTAAGCTGCTGATGGTCTAAAAAAAAATTATGATATGAAACCAAATAAACCTTGGGGTTAGCAAAAACTTTACAACTTTATTTTACCAATTAAAAGTCTTTTTTGCTGTTAACAATTAAAAGTCTTTTTTATGTAAAGTCAAATTAAAAAAATTTAAAATGTATTGTGCTAAGGGGCAGATTTGAACTCTCACCAAATGACACCAATGACAGCACATTAAACTACTCAGTTATCAAACTTATGCATGTAAAAGTAATACAAATTATTTTATAAATTTCTTACATATGCATTACAGCATACAGCCCCGCAGAGAGCCATAATTTTAAACAGTGCAAGAGATATTTTTGGACCCTTTACCCATAATTCTAATATTTTAAACTATTACTGTATGCTTTTGCTGAATCAATTGTGGTTTAATTCCACATTGGTTTTTGAAATCGGCAATTGTTCACAATAAGGATGCAAAAAAGCAAAAAAGCTTTGGTTAATGGGCCCCAATTGTTCTATGGGCCCTGGAGCAGTGCACCGCCTGTACCCCCTCTCAGTGGGCCTGATTACATATGCTTTACATATGCAAAAAAGGTGCGAATGTTAATTTTTTTGCTCTTAAAGGAATTTTTGTTAATGAATAATTTTTCTACTCTTGAGGAAAAAGTATTGAAGTAAATATTTTCAATAGAGCCATACCATTTTATAATAGTGGTTTTAATTCTTGTGAAATCAAAGATAAGATTGATTTCATTCCAAATATCCAAAAATATAATACAAAATCTCGAATAAGAAACATTATCATTACCTTATTCACTCAAGGTCAGAACAAATATAGAAAAAACATTTTTTAGTACAATTGATAAATGTTTCCCTAAAGGTTACAAATTTCACAAGCTTTTAACAAAAACAACTTAAAGGTTATTTATATCTGCCTTCCAAACATCAAGAACATTAATATTTCTCATAACAAAAATATACTATTTAACTCTCATGAAAATGCCAATCAATTATGCTTTTGTCAATAAACCACCTTAAGCCCAATCAATGGAAAATGCCAAAAAAAATTTTTATTTATATTTGCAAGGTAAAAACTAACAAAGGTGAGAAGGGTATTATTGCATCGCGCTTACTGAGAAAACTTTCAAAGACAGGTGGTATAAACATAAAAAGTCTTTTGTTTATGAAAGTAAGGCCAACTCTGCTGAACTTTTGAAAATTGTATGGAAATTAGAGATGTACTGGAATTCCGGCCAGAATTTATGACTTTCAGTTCCCGCAATTTACAACACTTCATGCCGGAATGCCAGAATTTATTTTTTATCTTTTTTTTTTTAATTCTAACACAGACTGTGTAAAAAAATCATTGTCTTACAGGTCAATGATAAACTTTAGGTAAACCTAGGTACAAAATTCTTAACAAACAAAATTCTTTAGGTTTGTAACTTTATTTGCAGTAAACAACTATGTAAGGGTTTCTAGAAGTTTAGAAATATTGTGGTGCAAAAAGAGTTGCTTTCCAGTTTCAAACAACAAACTAGCTCTTTTTTCATCAAAACTGTTACCTGCTTCTGAGAATAATCTGATTTTAAATGTTACTTAAATTTTAAATAATTAAATAGTATAGTATTTATGTCTAATGCAGTAAATATTTCAATTTTAACCTACATGGAAAAATAGAAAACATAGAATTACTTTTAAATATAAATATCATACAAGTTAAAACTTTCAATAAATAAAATTATAAGAAACAAATAAAAACAACATATTAGATTTAAATGAAACTAGAAATAAGTTAATGAAATAGGTTATATAAATAATATATATATATATATATATATATATATATATATATATATATATATATATATATATATATATATATATATATATATATATATATATATATATATATATATATATATATATATATATGCATATATTATAGGTTATAAATATATATTATGTAGCCATGAGAGGTGCTGAGGTGCAGGATTTTACTTTCAATCCTAAAGGTAAAAAATTACATAAATATAATACTCATTTCGGACAAAATTTTATTAATAATTCTATAAAACCTGGTTCCAGCCAGAACTCTAAATTTCCAATCCTGTACACCCCTAGTGGAAATGTAAAAATAAATGTTTAAAACCTAGACAAAAATGGAATATTCTCAATCAAGCGGAGCCATTTAAACCTGGTGGTAAACAGCAATTAATGCTTGACAAAAATATACCACAATATAACGTCACCATTAAATTTGCTTAATAAACGAACAAAGCTTGTGTCAAAATGCCGACATAAAAATAAATTTATAATATATATATATATATATATATATATATATTTACGTTCATACAAGAATTCAACATTTAAATCATATATATATATATATATATATATATATATATATATATATATATATATATATATATATATATATATATATATATATATATATATATATGTATATATATATATATATATATATATATATATATATATATATATATGTATATATATATATATATATATATATATATATATATATGTATATATAGTGTATATATATATATATATAGTGTATATATAGTGTATATATATATACATATATATATATATACATATATATATATATATATATATATATATATATATATATATATATATATATATATATATATATATAGTGTATATATAGTGTGTATATATATATATATATATATATATATATATATATATATATATATATATATATATATATATATGCGGTAGTGGTGTAATGGTAAAACACTCGCTTCATAAGCGAGAGGCTCCGAGTTCGATCCCCACCATGTCCCTGGTAGTACCGCGCTCAACTTGTTTCTCTGCGCAGCGGCCTTGTTTGTCAAGGTTCATGTTTCGGAGTTATAGAGTTGAGAGAGGGTTATAACCACTATTAAGTAGCCTTCTCGTCTGTAGTGACCTTCTCGGCCTTGAGGAGGTGAATAAAAAAAAAAAAAAAAAAAATATGTATATATATATATATATATATATGTACAATTAATACTATATATATATATATATATATATATGTATATATAGTATATATAGTACATATATATATATATAGTATATATAGTACATATATATATATATATATATATATATATATATATATATATATATATATATATATATATATATATATATATATATATATATATATATATATATATATATATATATATATATATATATATATATATATAGACAACTTAAAGGATTGCAAATTAAATGAATAAGGAAAGCAAAATGAAGGAAGCTAATTCCAAATAACTGATGTTTGAGTAAAAAACCTAGACGAATGTGAAATTTTGGAGCACTTAGGACTTCCAATGATGTACTTAGAGAAAGTACATCATTGAAAGACCCGCCCCAGATATGGTAACAGTATTCCACACAAAAACGATTTACAAATACAAAGATTTTTATTCTATAAAAACTTTAGATTTATGTAGATAAAGAATATAATCCTGAGTAATAAAATAGCAAGCATGAAAAAGACATGCAATCGTAGCAAGCGCTAATTTTGCAATCAATTTGTAATATGGTTTTCAAGAAAGATCAGAAGTAAAAGTTAATCCTAGAAGATGAAGGTTAGATGACACATCAAGTACATTACTATTCATAAATGTAGAAAGATTTAAAGTCAACCAGCCACTGAGAGTCCCATACTGTAGCAGAAGCAAGGGCCTTTCAAGCTCAAATGCCCCTTCTATGCAATCAGAGAGTTTTGGCTTCTTATTAAGACAAGAATAAATGGTAGTATCATCAACAAACAATGCTATCTTAGATGTAAGAATATCTGGAAGAGCATTAATATAAATGAAAAAAAATATAAGACCAAGGATAGAACCTTGAGGAACCTCTGAAGTTACAGGATATGAAGAGTGCTGTCCATTAAGGACAATTTTTATACTGCAATTGGTAAGGAAGGATTCAATAATCTTAAAGATGTTACCAGATACACCGTACAAAGAAAGCTTATGGAGAAGACCAGCATGCCAAACTTTATCAAAGGCTTTAGAAATGTTGAGAACAATATTCAACATTTCTGTTGAATATTGTTTTCAACTAATTTAGCCTCTCTACATCTATTTAATGCTTGATAAAACCTATCAGTTATTACCATCAACAAATCAGCAGTAGAATGTTACTAGATTCAAGATGAGAGATTAAGTGTTAGTTAATTAAAGACTCATAAACTTCGCATCTGATAGTAAGAAGACTAATGGAACAGTAGTTAGACGAGTCAGATTGCTCTCTAAAATTTTTGAAAATAGAGATAACCCGCTCTCCAGCAGGCTGGAAAACAAGACTCTAATAAGCACTTGTTAAATAGTTTTGAAAGTATAGATGACTGCACCTTAGGACACTTATGCAAGACTATAACAATTGTTTAACATATGAAGTGGACAATCTATTTCTATAAAATGTTCCCCTAAACTATGTTTTAAATGTTAAAAAACAATATTGCTGTTTTTTCTATTAACCTCACCAAAATTTGTATTACTGTTGTCACCCATAAATGCAATGCATTTATTTTTTATATACAATTTTTATAGTGTTTGTATTAACAGCACACAAATTGCGGTAACTTTTTCCTATGGTAAAGCAGCAAGCTCTACAAGTATGGAAGTAGTACAACTATTCTTCTCAAAAAACAGATTTTCGAAAACAATTTTAATGCATTTTTGTTAGATATGTTAGTAGAAATTCCAATATAAGAAATGTCCTTTAAAAATTCTTTAGTTTTCTGTAACGATCTATTAAGCTGGCACAGATGTATTTTCAATCTATTAGGCTGGCACAGATGTATTTTTAATACATTGTTTCCAGTTTAGGATGTTGAATGCTGGATCTTCTTGACTCGCTGCATGGGTTTTGCTTGTGTCTGTTTTTATGACTAGGCAACTCATTTTAATATCTCCAAATGAGGGTACAGCTCTAAAACTCAGTTTTATGGTTCTGAGGCCGGCTGGTAGTCAGGTTTCCCGAACTCTGTGGTAGCTCTCAGAGAGGCTGATTCCATCAACAGCTGAAAAATATCAGAGTACTAACAGTGTCATGTTGCGCATGGATGGTGTCCCTGTTTGTACTTTTGGTGTGCATTGCCAAGGCCACATTGGTGGAAATGAGGCAATTGCTTGGGCTATAAAACAGTGTACTGAGTACTATCTATGTTTCGAGTCAACTTCTTTAACAAATTTAAAAATGAATAAGGTAACAAAAACTATAAAACACAAAAAACCACAGTCATCACCAAGTTTACTAAACCTATCATTCACCAATATTCATGGTCTTCGAAGTAACTTTTCTTCTGTTGAGTCTTATCTCTTGCAAAGTTCACCAGACCTACTTGCTCTGAACTCAAATTAGTGAGACTAATTTGAGTTCAGCGGTCTCATCTTGTGATCTTAGTGTTGATGGTTATCTTCCTTTAATTTGTAAAGACTCCAATAGTCACATGCTTGGCCTGGGCATTTACATTCGTAAGAATTCACCCATTTGTCGGGAAACTAGGTTTGAATCCACTGACTACTCTTTTATGTGCTTTCGTTTAGCACCACTTCACTCTATCACCTTTCTCTTTATGGCTCTCCTTCATCTCAAGATTGCACTCTTCTTGATGTTATTTCTGATTATATTGACCAAGCCCTCATTCTTTATCCATCAGCCAATATTGTTGTTGTCAGTGACTTAAATGTTCATCACACTGTTGTCGGCCAATATTGTTCCATCAGCCAATATTGTTGTTGTCGGTGACTTTGTCAGCCAATATTGTATCCATCAGCCAATATTGTTGTTGTCGGTGACTTTAATGTTCATCACACTGAATGGCTTGGCTCTAGTGTCAGTGACTCTGCAGGCATTAAAGCCCACAACTTTTGCCTTTCTCAATCCCTAACTCAAATAGTCAACTTTCCAACTCGCTTTTCAGACAACCCGAATCATTTACCTTATCTATTTGACTTATCTTTGTTTCTGATCCTAGTCAGTGCTCAGTTTCTCCACACTCACCCTTAGGTGCTTCTGATCATGGTTTGGTCTCTCTAAAACTATCATCTCATTCTTCTTTACTATCAGAATCCCCCTATCATCGTACATCTTACAACTACCTTAAAGCTGACTGGGACTCTTTCCGTGATTTTCTTCTTGATGGCCCCTGGGTAGAAATCTTTCATCTTCCTGTTGACAAATGTGCTTCTTACATAACTTTGTAGATTCAGGCTGGCATGGAGTCCTTTATTCCCTCTCAACAATTCCAAGTCAAGCCTCACTCTTCTCCATGGTTTTCCTCACATTGTGCTGCTGCAATTGCCAATCGAAACCATTACTTCCATATCTATCAGCAAAACAATTCTCAAGAAAACAGACGTCTGTTTATTACTGCTAGGAACCATTGTAAAAAGGTTTTGTCTAACGCCAAAGCTCGCTATTCTCAGATCATGAAATCTCGTATTTCATCACAAAAATTAGGCTCTCTTGACTTCTGGAGAATCTCTAATAGCATCAATAATAAGGGCAAGTCTGTAATTCTACCTCTTTTGTATGGTTCAAACTTTGTCACCTCGTGTTACTCGTCATTCAATTAAGTCTCATCCTTTCTCTGTTACTGTTCCTAAGTGCTCCAAAAATTCTTACACGTCTAGAGTTTTTCCTCTAACATAAGTTATTTGGAATTCGGTTCCTTCATCTTGCTTTCCTGATTCATATAATTTGCAATCTTTTAAGTCGTCTGTCAATCGTTATCTTGCTCTACAATCTTCAACTTTTCTCTTTTGGTAACATCCAACACTAATTAGTGGTTGCTTGCAGCCTTGTTGGAAGCAAAGATGTTTACAAAAAAAAAAAAAAAAAAAAAAACGAACTAAGCACCAGCACATTATCTACAATAGCCTGTATATTTGTTCATTACATTTTACTTGCAATTTGAGAATCAGAAAACAAGCATTTATATAATTTTACATACAAAAAACATACAGTAAACCATCATCAAAGATAAAGGCGAAGTTGACTTTTAAGACTCAAATTTATATGAAAGACAAATTTATATGCGTATACCCAATTTAACTGA